CTGGCACGTCATGATGTAAGCGACATTACCGCCTGCCTGGACTCACTTCTTCACCTCTCTTCTGCACTGTCTGTTGCTTTGGATGGTTGTGATGTTGACCCCTGGTATTTATTTAAATTCATCCACCTCTATCTCTGCTCTTTGGATCTTCACGAGTAAACTTGCCTTCCTCTCACTCACATACATTCACACGCTGTCTTTCTTCTGCTGATTTTCATTCCTCTTCTCTCCATCAGATTCCTCCACCTGCCATTGCTCCCATCTTCCATCTGCTCCCTACTCTCACTACAGATCACAATGTCAGCTGCCAACATCATACTCCACAGACCCCTGCCTGACCTTTATCAGCCAATTTGTCCATCATCACAGCCAACAAGAAGTGGCTCAGAGCAGATCCCTGATGTAATCCCACCCCCATCTTGAATACATCTGTCACTTCTATCACACACATCACCACTGTCTGGCTGTCCTGATACATGTACTGCACCAGCCTCACATACTTTTCTGCTCTCTTGACATCCTCATGCAGTACCACAGTTCTTCTCTTGGCACTCTATCATGTGCGCGCTCTCGATCCACAGAGAGACAGAGCAACTCCTTCTGACCTTCTCTGTACTTCTCCATCAACACTCTCCAAGCAGACATCGTTTCTGTAGTGCTTTTTATCACCTCTCTTCTCAGCCTAACTTCAACAACTCTTTACCATATATTCATGTCATGGCTCATCAGCTTTATCCCTCTGTAGTTACTGATGAGTGATAAAGCTTGTTTTTGAAAATTGGTACCAGTACTCTTCCTCCTCAGACATCCTGTCACTCTCCAAGATTGCATTAAACAATCTGGTCAAAAACTCCTCTCTCCTAGACATCTCCATATCTCCACAGGTATGTCATCTTGACCAACTTCCTTTCTACTCTTTAGCCTCTTCACAACTGCCTTCACTTACTCCTTACAAATATTCTGCTCTTCCTGATTCATTTTCTATTTGCATATCCACAATGTTAACCAAACAAGTTAGGAATAAAAGTATAACTAAAAGCGAACAAATTCAGCTGACCATTGAACACACCCGGAGGCTTTGTGACAGCTATTTCAGTTTGAAAAACAAATATAATTGCAAAAAAAAAGTAACAAACAGGACATGAGAATAAAAAACAAAATACAAATATAATAGAAAGACATGAAGATAAATCAAATCTTTGTTCTTCTCGGGGGAACATTTAGAGACCAAAATTACAAGTTCTTGCAAATAATGAACAAACCAGATAAATAGTTAGGAGATAGTCCATTAGGCTTTTGTATATGAGCACTAAAATAAGCCCACATTTCCTTAGCACCAATGACGAGTATACGTTTTCTTCTCTGCTGAGCTACAAAATATTTTGTGACTTTTACTTGTTAATTTCATTGATGCAACAAAACACTATTAGTCGTATATAACATTAAATCATTAGCTCGGGTATGAAAATCTGTGTTGTTTTTGTTTTAATTTGCAGTTGCACAAAACTTTGGTGTCCAGAGAAACACACTGAAGCAGCTATCATAATGAGCCCATGCTGGTGCTGCCATGTTATGTGGAGTTTACAGCAATCGATGTAGCCTGACTGATAATTAGTTTTTAATGCGCTTGCTGAGGAGTCTCGCCTAAACGACACCTTCTGCACCATTTAAAGTTGATGTGGCACACATTATTAAACGTAAATAGCAGTAAAGTGAAAACCAATTTCTGTCCCTATGGGAAGATTTTCCTGTTTCTTTAAGTTAAATTAAAAGCATTCAATAAATTCTTACATTTGCCATTCTGTATCTTTCTTGTATCTTGTATTGAGCTTTGTTCTATTTGTGCCTGTTTAGTTTTCTCTGGCTTCCTCACACAGGCAACCACCTTAATTAGCGATTATTTGTCTACAATAACTTCATGGATAGCCGTGTCAGGGTTATTGATGGATCAGCCCGAGGACGTATAAAATTAAAGATGCACCCTTTTTAAACGTTCCGTTTTTGTACCCTGATATAAAAGATTGGTTTCCTTAAGGTACAAACTACAAGCTTACAATGGCAGTACTTTAAAGGGTAAAGCTATGGTGATCAGCTGGTATATTCCCAAATGTAGTGGAAGATACTTTATTTTCTGAGTGTACACAAAGATCTCATCTAGTCTTTATATGCTGCATGGAAAGCTAAACAAGGATATGCTATCCTCGGCCAGTGGTCTGTGTTTGTAAGAGCACGATGTTGAAAAGTAATAGTGAGGGAGTATAATATTAAAGATAAGCAGAAGCAGTAGGCAGTGATGTGTGTGCATCTGCGTGTGTGCAACAGTGAGAAGGAGGGAGGGACATATGTACAGGTACTGATAGTTGGGATCAGTGCACTGAGCAAGATGTTAAGGTCGGGTTTCCTCGCCACCCACTCCCCACCACAGACCATGTCAAACCTCCCCCTTAATCCCCCCTCCCTGTATAAGCCACTCTCCATACACACACAGACATCCAGCATCCAGCTTGCTACCCATCTACGCTCAAAATCCGTTCCTGTGCAATCTCCTGTGCATCAGCTGCCAAATGAAGTTCCTCTTTAGAAAAAAAAAAAGAGAGAGCCTTGGCTGTCGAATCGTCTGAGGCATCGTGCCTGGCGGCATAGGCAGCCCTTGTGTTGAAGCCAATAATCCGGCATCAGAGCTTCAGGTGCGCAGAGGGTCGTGATTGACAGGACTCGATATGAGGCCCTCGCCTCACTTGACATTTGGGTTTCATAAGGTCTGGAACAAAAGGCAGGGGCAAAATAATCAGAGAGGGGCACAGGCAAATAAATCTGTTTATTCCTCCTCACCCGCTCCCCTCCCTCACCTCTGCACCTCCTCTGCTCGTCCACATCATGGCTCAACCCTTGGAGGAGAAAAGAGGGAGGGCATGATATTACCTTTTCACAGCCTTGGTGGATTCACGCACCGCGACAGCAGGTCACTTTAGGCTCTGTGCTTACCTGAGATATTAGTTTGTATGTGTGGTAGATAGAGATGTGTATTTGAATGGCTGAGGCGATGTGTGTGTGTCTCTGTGCGCACAATCCCATGTATGTTTGAGGGAGGGGCAGAGACAACAGACAAGACAGAAGCAGACAGACTGACAAGGAAAGTGGATTGATGTGGTGTCACATTGTGGATCGTAATTCATACACCTGTTAGTATGTTTGAGCAAATATTATTATTAATCATAGAAGTAACATTACAACATATACTACTGAAGCACTGAAATGTATTTTATTGTGTCGTGTGAAGCAGACACACAGATTATAACAAACGTGATCCTAAATAGCTTTAATGGGTAATGATAAATTCAGAGAAAGGGACATGAAATATAAAGTGTAATGCAGCACAAAATGATTAAGATTTCTGGACACAGTCAGTTAGTTCTGCTAAATGACCGAAGGCAGCAGTGAAGAGAGCTGCTGACCCAGCAACAGTGTGTTTCATCTACCCACACTGAACATCTTCTCACAGCCACAAATGCAGGCTGACAGACTATATGCACTTGTTCGCTCAAAATGAATGGTGTCAACTCTGTGTGTGTGTGTGTGTGTGTGTGTGTGTGTGTGTGTGT